CTATCTATCTATCTATCTATCTATCTATCTATCTATCTATCTATCTATCTATCTATCTACAACAAACATGCTTACTAGACCGCACAGATGCTCAGTCTGCTCAGTGGTTGGTTAGCGGATGCTCTGGTGTGTTTTGCTCCTTCGTTCCTATCTCTAGATCTATCATCCGTATCACTTCTCCTTCTGTTTTGGGTATGTTACTCCCATGTAACACCTCTAATCTTGGGCACTTGTATTATGATCTAATTGTGTTGCAAGTGCCATAACATTCTTTCTAAAACTAAACAGTCTGCTCATGCTTAAAAAAAAAAATCGACATTACAAAAACGCTGTGCATCTTCACAAACCAATACCTCAGAATTGCAAAGTTCTATCTGCTCAGTACCTAGTTTTGAGAAATTTTACGTCAAAGATTTTGAGTTTCATTTCATGTCGAGCTCTTTTTCAAATGCAATTCTGTGAATAAGGTCTTGATAACGACTACGAATAATCTTACGATTTTGATAGAGCAGACAGAGCACTATAATTGTTTTCTGATCCCATGGTCTTAGAAACTCAAAACAGGCAGAAATGTCAGATAAAACTTTGTTATTCTGATGTAGCGAAATAGTACAAGAGCAAAACCGTATTGGACCAGATCAAAACTTACGTGCGTTTCGCCTTCTGCAACATCAGAACCTTCTTGCTCAGCGTCCGATGTCTCTACATCTGAGGAAATAACATATATGGTGGGTGGTTTGTGGGTGCTCTGGAGTGGTTGGCTCCTTCTTTCCTATCAAACACCTATCGTCCAAATCTCCCCTCCTTCTTTTTTTGTGCGTGGTACTCTCTTGTAACACCTCAATCTTCGGCATGTACGGGAGTAATTGTATTGAAAAGGCTGTAAAACTAACTAAAACAACAACTAAACGACAAGCAAGATGGACTAACTGTAACAGGATAGCGGTCTTGTGGGATTCAAATGCCAGAATTGTCTCTGATAGAGCTTGAAAAGCTCTTTCGGTAAGGTGTTGTGCTTTCCAAAAGAAAAAAAAAAAGAAAAAAAAAGGATTGATAAGATGTATCTTTTAAAGACTTCCAAATATAATTTACCACATTTCGTATTCGCAGTGTCAGACTTTAAATAATAAATGGCGTACGACGGAAATCTTTCTCTAGGCATCCGGTTTGATTTGAATTTCTGCCTATTGCTTTTCTAAACGGAACCAGACACGTCCCTAGAGCTATTCAAAAGTAATTCTTCACGACCATTCAACACAATAATAATGATAAATAGCAACACACGAGAACATATCAATACAATTCTGTGTCTACTAACGTCTCTTCAGAGAACTAAATTCGCACGAATCATTCATAGGCCAATCTCTTTCTCTAAATCAATAACAACAATAACAACAGTTGTTTCTGAATGAAGTCACCACCACTTTCTTTCTCCAAGCCTGCTTGATTCCTGTATCTGACTTTGTATTAAGTTTTATACAACGATCGTGTACAATGGTTTTAACACGAATAGAACATGATATAGAATATTGATATGCATTCTTCTTCTTCTTCTTCTTCTTCTTCTTCTTCTTCTTCTTCTTCTTCTTCTTCTTCTTCTTCTTCTTCTTCTTCTTCTTCTTCTTCC